TCCTCGAAATTCCAACCCCATGCCGCTTGGCACAGGGCTGGAATTTCGAAGACCATGCTCGGGGGGGGGGCGACGATTGCTTGAAGGCTGTCGAAACCAGAAAGATAAAGAAAGAGAGACGGAGATAGATAGAGAGAGAGAGAGAGAGACGAAGAGAGTGGAGTAGATGACGAGAGAACGAACGAAATAAAGGAAGAACCGGAACTGATAACGCAGCAAAGAAAAAAACATTAACAAGTCATTCAAAAGAGAAAGGCGGAGGAGCGTTTCATTCAATAAAAACCATATGAAAACGACGACGTCCGCCACAATCCCCCGGACTCTCCTCCTCCCCCTCCTCCTCCTCCTCCTCTTCCTCCCCCTCCCCCTCCCCCTCCTCCTCCTCCTCCTCCTCCCCCTGCTCATCCTCTCCTTCCTCCTTTTACGGATTGGCAGGTTGAGCATCTTAGGCCCCCCTCCCCTTTTTTATAAATCACATTCACATCGGCGTTACTGATGACGACTCAAACGTCATAGTCCGCGAAATTATGGGAGGTGCCGTCTCCTTGGTAAAGGTGATTGAAGGCGAGTTGGGCTGTTCGACTGCTCCGCGCAAGTCTGGCCAATTCAGACGGACTTCGCAAAAGGCTGTCAAGAGCGTTTGGCCCCCTCGCCGGCCGCGCGGCCCCGGCTGCGAAGAATTCAGGTGTTGATTTGGCCTTGGGCAATTTCAAGATGTCGTAAATCTAGTCGGCCGTCGCTTCGAGAACGCAAGGGAAGCTCAAGTCGCGCAAGCGGCGTTTATCTGCTGTGCGGAGGGCTGGCACAAACACGCGCTACCTGTTGACCACGGCCTTGGAATCTCATGGCACCTATGGTGTTGAAGTCACCAGGGTAGATGCGGCAGAATTGCGCCAATTGCAATCTTTCCTTTTGGCCATCGCCGGCTCCCGAGGCGATCGCCGTTCTCGTTCTATCTCGCTGGCCCTGCTGGAGGACCCGACGTGGCGCCGAGGGCCGGCCCCGGCTCTACTCTGGGCCAAGATAGCATGGCGTGCCCACGTCGATCGGTCTGCACACAACCATTTCCCCGCGTCTCGCCTCCTCTCCCTCGCTGCCCCCACCCTGGCCAATCCCCCGAAAGATTGGGGGAGAGCGCGTGGGCCACTCGCCGCCGCCCCCCCCCCCCCCTCCCTCGGATTGGGCGGGGCAGACACGCTGCGCTTGTCTTCGTGGACCAGGCGGGCGAGCAGCGGCCGCTCACTACGCTCCCCCCGAAGTTCTTGGAGAACAAAATGAAGGCAGAGTTGCCGGGTGTCCATTTTCGCGCCGTCGGCCAGAGACTAGGTCTGGAGGCAAGTCCCCCATCGCGGGGGCCTCTCTAGGCAAGAGGCCGGCATTCTGCAGTCTTTTCTGTGCCTGACTGTTTGGGCTGGGCGGAAGTTGCAGCAGTCAGGCCACGAGGCGCCCGCCGTCTGCGCGCGCGACGGCCCGACCGATTGCTCATCGCACCGCCTGCGCCACCGCCCCCTTTCGGCCTCGCTGAGAGCGGAGTGGTTGGAGCATACAGAAGGAGAGCTCATCAACGACGGGCGCAGAAATTTCCTTCTCGTCTGCGGCCCCCTAGAACTCCCAGGCTTCTCCGTGAACCCACCGCGTGGATCGGGCACGACGCCTTACCGTTCTTTCTGCGCTGACGCCCCCCTAACAGCGCGGGAGGCGCTTGCCGGGGAAGTTGCCACAGATGGCTCTTGCCTCGAGGACGGCCCCGCGGAATTTCACATCGCGGGCTGGGCGGTCATCGAATTGACAGCTGGAGGGGATTTGTTCGCGGCTCTTCGGGGGCCCGTGGGCTCGCGTTACCCGCGGCCCCCCCGGCCGCAGAGCACGCGGCTGCCCTTGCCGTCGCGGGGCACTGCCCGCAGGCGCAGGCCATTTATCCGGGGTGCCTCGGCCACGCTGCCAGAGCCTTGCCCCTGCGCCCGCGCCTGGCCCCTCCAAATAAGGCCCGACCCAAGTTTAATAAGTCATTGCGCGAGGTCGGGTTTCAAGCTGGTGCGCGCGCAGCAACATATGCACTGCCTCACCCGCCCCCCCCGCCGCCTCCGCCTCCGCCAACCCAGGCGCGGGCTAAGTCGCGGCCCCGAGCCACGCGAACTCCGGCTGGGCAGGCGGCAGATACCGCGGGGCAGGAAACACGAGTGGCGGCGGAGGCGCCAGGGTTACTGGACCCGCCTCCACTGCCAGCGGCGCAGCAGCAGAAGCCAGGCGCAGCCCGCGCCGCGCTTCGGCGGCGCCTTTCGACCGACCCCACCGCCGCCGCTCGAGGGATGCGCGGGGGCCTCGCCCATCCTCCGCTCCGCGTTCCATGGCCAGCGCGGACGCGACCTTGTCGTGACCGAGCACCCCACTGGCATTGTAATCACTTGTAAAGCGCGCGGCAATTCTTCGGAAGGAGCGCGCGCGGTCAACTTGGAGGACAGATGCCGCCCTGTCCGGGCTCCCAGTCGAGCGAGAACCACTTGGAATAGGGCTTGCAAGGTGCAGTCGCCCAATTACTGGCGCGGGGCCGGCGCAATTCTGGGCGATCCGATGCCCTCTAGCACGTTGCTCGCGCTCCGTGGGGAATCGAACTCCCCTGCGAGCCAGACCCCTTCCCCCCCCTCCCCCCCTCCGCCGCCGCCCCTTTGCGCGGCCCAGAACCCCGGCGGGGGTAAGAAGAGCGACCGCGCATCTCCTGCTCCACGTGTATTGTTGAGTTTGCATATTGTTTCACACGATGGCATTCGGCTTCGCTCGCCCACCGCCCCCCCACTCTCACGCCTCAGCCTACTGCGGCGGGGCTGCCACCAACGCAGCGCTCACACCCCGCGCCCCCCCTCAACACAGGCCAGCCCCAACCCCGCCACCCCCTCCAGGGGCCGCCCTCCGCCGCAACCCTGCGGGCACTCTGTTCGAAGAGTGGCAACCTGCGCAGCCCCCCGTTCGAGGGGGGTGGGCGGCTTTCATGCAGCGGGAAAAGAGAAGGTAGCCTAACGGCCGCCACATTTTCCTCCCGGCCGGCGCCGACTTCGAGCGCTCCGCGGAGCGAAAAGGAAGCTTGTCTATTGCATGCGTTTATATCACTATTGCCATCATAGCATTACCTCATAACGGACGGTCCAAAAATTCATGGCGGCACTAGCCCCCCAAAGAACCAGGAGGTGCAAGGGGGGGGCTTGTCGCGGCAATGGCCCCTCGTGCTTCGCAGTCGCTCGACGACGCGGCGAGCGAAGGGAAGCGGCGGGAAGCGCTTGCAAGCAAAGCGATGCATTCTGCGGGGCGACCCTATGGAGGGCGAATTTCGGACAAGGCCACAAGGTCCGGTTTTCGTCGTCGTCGCCACCGCCGCTGGCGCCGTCGCCGTCTCGCGCGGGAGGGGCCTCTAGGTCGAGCCGCTCGAGCCCACTGTAGTCCCAAAGCCTGCCGACAGCGGCATCGTGGCCTCTGCGCCCCCATTGCTCGTCCGGCTCCAGCCGCGCCGTTGCCGGCGCAGGGCCCGCAGCGACCAAGAGGGCACCTCCGCCTTCACCTCCACCCCCTCCTCTCTTCCTCCAACCCATCCGCCCGCCCGCCACCCTGGCTTGCC